CCTGCGTGTGAAAATGCAAGCATAACCGGCTTACTCTAGATGCCAGCATATTGTAGTCAGCCCACTAACCATATAATTGTCGGTCGATTCTGCAGACCCCACATGTCATTTAACGGTTGCGGGAAGCAGATCATACGATATTTCAAAAACATGATCTTTCTCTCAGTAGTATTTTTTCCAAATTATTACTTGAGTAAAATTTAACGTCGACTCTGGGAATCTGATCGCACTTTCAGCATTGGTTGCGGAATCTTAAACGTGGCATGTGGATGATTTTTGCTTAAACTGAGTGCTTTATTCTTTAAGACAAAATTCCTGTGACCAACAAGACGTAAAAAGAAAAGCAGAATTTACAATTCAAATTCAAATAAAATACAAAAGGTTGGAAAAGTTATTTCAAATATCACGATAGTTCAAGGAGTTATGTGGACGCGGATGTAAAAAATTCACGAATGAAAAGTATAAAATTACATGCAAGTAGACTGGCTCTAGCGAGCAGAAGGAAGAACTTGCAAATGAATGAAGATGACATGGTTTAGTTAAAAATCGGTGGAGTCTACAGACAATGAGCCTTCCTCGGTCGACTTGAGTAGTTGATGAAGTAGCCGTGTTTGCATGGCGCCCAGGGAGGCAATGGATGTGACATTCGGCGTCGCAAACGAACTTTCAGCCTCCGTCACCCCAGTAGGCGGCTGGAATAATGTCATTGCCCATATCAGGGCCAAATTGCTCAGGCCCATCTTATTGGACGATTCATGTTCCCCGACACTAAATTCGAAATAACAGGCAATTTAGGATATTTTAAACTAACCTGTCCCAGTGGGACTTTAAAATAATTTGAATAACTTCGGTTTCTGTTTATAAGTACGCCGGTGAGGAAAGCCTTGACCAACCAGCAACGTCTGGGTCGGGTTTTAATTTTATAAGTGAAATCAAACTTTCCCTCAGTACGAGATGGATAACTACGTAAAGTGTCCCCAAACAAGGGGACTTCGCTTGTAAGAAAGTCAAAGAAAGCTTAGCTATGCCTTTTAACCAATGAGCTCCGCCATAAATACGGATTTCTTCAGATTGTCCGGGAAACAGATGACTCATGTAAAAACATTGAATAAACCAAATGTACAATTTGGTAGATAACTACAAACTCAACGTCTACAACCAGAAATCGCGTAGTCGAATTCAAAGCAAACTGGCATCAGCTGTTAGCTTGCTATCGTTCTAACGTTTCAGGTGTTTAACTCTAGCCAATCGCAGAGCAAGTCTTCGTCACACTTTGTTGACGGACTCTCTTGTAATCCACAACCTTGTACTTTGTTCAGCATTTAAAACTTTCATGTGCTACGCACTGTTTAACTAACACTGAGTGCAGTAAACTGCGTCTGTGCACCCAGTTTAAAGGGAATAAAAGCTAAAAAACATCGGGCTAAGCCCATCGTAAATTGCTCCAGAAGTATATCGAAGAGTAAACTGCTATTTTAATTCGCGTTCTAATTGCACAGCATCCTGGCTCTATAGGCCCATGTAAACTACGGAACAACTTGTTCCATATTGTCGGCCTAAGTTAGGTCCAAAGCACACTGGGGAAACATACTCCTGGCTTAAGCGACAATGGGGGCAAAAAATAATCTACAAGACAGCAGGCTTATCCGAATCCATTTTGTGACATCGGTGTGAAAATGCTAAGGAAAAGCTGCTGTTCTGTTTTATTTTACGTTAGTATTGACTTTTGTGTCCCTAAAACGGCCCATGAGATTGATGCTCTGAACCAACAGGAGACATGATCGAAGTCCAATGCAGGCCTAATTGCGGGCGTACGCTGTACCAATTGGGATTTAATCCGGCCTCCTTTGTTCTTATGATATAAGATTCTGGTCAGTGTACGATGTGGACCACGGAATGTATTAATAGTCCCAGGTGCGAATTTTATTCGTGCCAGCCACCTGCGCCCTCTCCTGCCCCAATCTTCAGGTCAAGAGGGGAGTGCGATAGATGCGGTGCAGGTCTACCATCACTGTAACTCATAAAAATCACTATCACTACTCTTACCAGGTGTGAAGCACACAGTAGGCACCGTCGGCAACGATGGTCGAACTGTCTAGATTAATTCTGCGCAGTGGTACTTCGGGAACTACAACACTGGTAGTTTTGTTTCAGGGAGTAAGTTAACCTTCCGTACCATATAAAATAGTCTGAAAGGTTTCGTTGTGTTTCCAAATACTTTTTTATAGTCTTTCGACATTCTACTATCTGCCGGCACGAATACGAGATATTGCTGCGAGCTTTCGGTGCAGAAAAGCTCATCCTAAATATTATGCATGTTAAAAATGACTCGAGATTTCCTTTTATTAGGTATATCTTATGTGTGATTTCGATGATGGAATACATGGTTATGATACTAAGGGGGGATTACCGAATCAAATGACGCAGAAGGTACTGAAGTGTATCCCTCCGTGGTTTCGGTAGAGAGGCGAGGGCATGATTCAACATTTTGATTCTTTCATTGATGTCCACGACATCTGCAGAATTAAAAAGACGACAAGCTCGTCATTAAACTTCACACGTGAGACTATGTTTAATGTATGGAGCTTGCGTTGCAACAATCCGATGACAACCAAAATATTAAGGTTTCGAAATTTCGCAGACGAAACAAAAAAATAACTACAAATACGAAGTGGTGTGCGCAGTGGAAAATCATTGATGGCTTATGTTATAACAGTACTTGCGAAAAATTCACATCGACGTACTCAAGCATAATGCTACCCGAGGAAATATTTTGCGCACACTGATTTTGACGTCACAGCACTGCAGTTATTGCTGTCTTCACTAACGGTGCCTTCACAAGTTAATAACTTAGGAAAACTACCCTTAAGAAAATGATCCGTCGTGAAGAGGATGCTCCATGGTCGCATTTGCTACAATTTTTTGTTTTTAAACTGAACCGTTTATGCATCCGGACCTAAATATAATTTGACGGTTTTTCGCTCGCAGAAGGGAAACAGAGATGTCAGGATTGGCAGGATGGTGAAAACTTGCCTAGTGCATTAACAAAGGCAATGAATTCGGTCGAAGTTATCAGCGGTTCTGGAAGTTCACGGAAGAAGGCCTTAAGGAGGCTTGATAGAACGTGGACGTCGTAGTCCGCCAGTTGCTTTACGGCCGTGTCCACGTCTAAATGTAAATCGAGAACTTTAGAAGTTGTTTGCCAATTTGGTTTGGCAAATATAACAGATGCAAAACAAAGCCAAATATCCTGAAGACACAGGCAATAAGACTTCTGAAAGCGCTGGATTTGTAAAATATCGGAGAGCGAAGTACTATCACAGGAAAACTAAATAAACTTTCACATATTCCTATTTCACAGATTTTGCCTCAGTCGTACAAATAAATAAGTTGGGCTTTCTTACGCACAAGAATTGGAATAATCATAATGGCTGTTTAGCCTGACAGCTTCAAAGTTGCGTTAACTGTTGGTAGGAATGTTTGTTAAAACGGCGGCAAGAATACACTAGGAGCGGTTTGCTGGGTGAGCCGGTTCGAGTTACGGCGTCGCATACGAGAAAAACTGAGAAAACTCGTTTACTATAGTGAATTCCGTCTCCTCATTTGTGATACTCACCCTAAAATAGTGCATAAAGCAGGCTGGAACAAAATCAATAACAAGCTAGTGATAATTGCAGTCGCTAAGCTAAAAAGAAGCAACAAATATCTCCGAATAACCCGTTGAAACAAGTCTTCGACAACTGCCTAGGGGAAACAAGGTAGTTTGTAAATTTTTTAAGCAATGAGCGTTACAAATCCGGAATTCAGAACCCCTTAACAATCTGAAGGCAGCGGTAATATGGATTTTTTTTAGTAGATGTTGAATAAAGCAAGTCCAAATGGCATAACTACTGAAATCAAGATTCATTAGAGAAGCAACACAGTCAAAAGTATAAAAGGGGTTGTTTTAGATGCTTCGGGTCATTTTACTTTGTCTGGCATAAGCATGAAATATATCCACTTTCTCCAAAGGAAAAAACAAAACTCGGTCTAAAGTTTCCCAGTATTCGAAGACGCACCTCGATTAAACTGTTCCTTAAGGTAATTGACGGAGGATAAACTTCCACAGATTCGATAGATACCCTCTTCTGCCAGACCTCTTCGCTCAATTTCCTCGGCACAAGTACTGACGATGACTGGAACATGTACACCGTTGGGAGCCAGAGCCTCAGCCCTTCCCGTTATCTTCTCTACCCGACCTGAGGAAGCGATTTTATGTAGTCTCTCTGAGCGGAGCTGATCCCTCCTAAAAGCAGAAGCTTAGTTAAACACACCGTAACATAAGTTTACCAGTAGTAAAAACCTTCAGGTTAATTTCACTGAACATGTTTTCAGACGTAAGTTGCACCATAAACTAAGTTCTTTGCAAAAAGGCTGAAATAATGGACGAAATGCCTGACGGCCTATGATGGACACTTGTTAGCCGATGTTTGAAAACTTTAAATAAAAAGACGGATAAACTAGGCTTTGATTAGCAGTCACGTATCATAGGCCACTAAAGCTGAAGGCATTTATGATTCGGGCCTAAATGGGGAGCTTGGAAATTCGGAAAAATACAAGCTCACTGAGTCCCAGGAATGCGCGAAAATAGTATGCTTCGTGTGGACTCTAAGGGCAGCATGTACATGTAGGGACGCCTAAATGTAAGCTTATGCTGGATTACCCACTCTGTTAGAGTTATATTAACTATTTTTAATGTAGGCCTAGCATAATTATACAATGAATGGTTAAGTGCAGACATCAAACAAGTGTGGTATGCGATGCTAACTTACTTTAAGACTTCGACCAGAGGTTGGCCAAATATGTCCGAATTCTCCAAAGAAGTAGACAGAACAAAAGCCCGATTTCGTTCCGTGAAGGAGAGGGACAACTTCATTTTAATCTGACAGTGAGAGAATTTGTGTTAGAAAAGCTTAAGGTAGAACACAATGCAGACACTCTACTTCCGCTTTTTCAGCCTGAGTAAATAAGACTTCCTTCCGACGTACTAGTTGCCCAGGACTGCAGGAATGGACCGAAAACCCATCGATCACGTTAGTAAGATTCAACATTGATTTGCGAAATTACTGGACAAGGAATTCTGGCGTTAGTTTAAAGGTCTAGCGGATTAATACTGCTCCTCAGAAAAAGATAGGAAATATCCATTCGCGTTACTACTGTATAGAACTAAAATGAACTTCGCAAACCCAAAAGGTGCATGAATGGTATGGGCCTTTAAATGTCTTAGTCAACAAACCTGCGCCAAAGTTAGTGATATACGAAGCCTGGAATCCGCATCAAATTGTTACACTAACTATCGTTACGTGCTGGTGCCATAGTCACTGCCAATGCTGTTTGTCATAAATTTTGTATGAAAGTGAGGGATCCTGGTAAATCATACCAAACAAACTTCCGAGAAATGGAGAGCGTAAAAATCAAACAATGAACAAGTAACAGCAGATATATTGCTGGAAAAGCCTTGCTGTGAAAGCAACAGGCGGCGCGCCGTAAGAAGAGATAAAATGCAACACAAACAACAAACCGTTTTTGGAGGCGAATCGAAACTACGAACAGTATGCCAAGTTTCCGAGTATTGGGCCAACTGGTCAATATCTAGCTGAAAATCAAATATGAAAAACCAGCATAAGCTTGGAAAAAGGTAATACCTCTCTCCAGCGTAATGTTATCGTACAAACTGTGATGGTCATATACTTTTACATCTGTCAGTCTAGGCAGTAGTAGTATCAGTAGCAGCAGTTTGATGGTGGTTATGAAGGTGGTGATGGTAATGATGATAATGGTGGTAATTGTGAACAGGGGTTATAGAAAGAAATTGATTTGGATGTCTCGAACAATTTACATTAACCACGTGGCAGGACATGTTACGTACGATGGGCCAGCATGAGAGGTCCCTTGTGCTAAACGAGGTAAAACCCACTTCAGTCCTAATGTCGTCGCAGTATTGATGGATGCCTATCGTGGTGAACGACTTTAAATCGACGTCAATTGCCGAATCGGTAAAAAACGATCTGCATACACTTAAAATGTCAAAGGACATGACCTCTTAGCCGACGACCGTAGACTGAGCAACAAAAATTCAGCAGGTATGTGACAAGATCTCGGTCTATTCGCCTAAGAAAGCGCCAACTTGATATTAAAAATCGAGCTGTAGAAGTAGGCAGTAGTGCGCCAGTCCGCACCGAATGTTCAATACACCTACCTTAAGCCTACTGTCATTATCAAATCGCTAGACCGATTCTCCTACTAGGGAGGGGGACCAACATGAACTTTCACTCAGCCATCCCTTTAACAGGTAGCAATACGCACCGCTGTTTTGCGGGATGAGAAAGAGATTTGGATATGAAACGAATCCGCCCTCCCTCTATAATAGGCGATTTTCGACGCAAGCGGCCACGACGCCCTATTCGGAAGAGGGACGGCTCACGTCATCGTCGTCCTTATGGTGGATCTTATAATAACAACAATGGTCGTACGATTACCGGTAGGGACATTAATAAAAGTGACAATAAAATTAATATTCTCTGATAAGTATGATCTACCTTTTGAATAAACGCTATTATCCGAGTGGAATTAAAACATATTGTCTGTGATAATTCTCTATTTAATGTGTCCCACTCAGAAGAAAATCTTAAGACGAAGAAGGCCTGTCTGTCTATGTGCTGTATCTCTTTTTGTTTTTTGTCAGAGCTTTTAAATTATTTGGTGTGACACCTGTAGACTATCGGCTAGTAAATAACCGGTGTGAGCAACAACTAATCCTACCTACTTCTTGCACGGAGCCATTAACAACTGGCCCTCGTATTCATGTTTTTCGCGTTAACAAAACACTGTCTTACTGACATTCTCAGAGTGCAAAAAGTGAATATTATAACTGTCCTGCAGGGGATGCTGGCGGATGAATTTGATCTCTGCGTAGTAGAAACAGATGTAACAGGATTATGTTGGCAAGAAGGGAAACTGCCAAAACGGAATTGCATCAGAAAGGTTGGAAGAACGGTAGCAGCGGTTATGCGTCAAAAATTAACAAGGGCGGATTAGTTACTGACAGAAATTCCCACATTTGTTAGACGTTTGCGAACTAAGTACAAAAAACATACTAGGATTTTTTTACGGTCTGCAACTGCCTTATGCTGACATGCAAAACTTGTGGTTTAGTTATTTTAAATTTCAACAAGTTACAGTCAGTTAATTAGAACTACGTTGTGCGAAGATTTCAAGTGGACAGTTGACATCGGTTTTAAAGCCCAATTCTCTTAGTGTTGAAAATATACGCATCAGTCGAAGACGTCCGATGTGCCTACGAATGTGTTTATTATCCTTGGAAATGTGGAGACTGCAAAGGTTGCGTTTAAATCAGCATGCGAACCAATTCCAATTTTTGCGGATCAAAATGCATAAACAAGGAGTAACACTTGCCGGCAGCTCAAGCTGCGCGATCACAGTAGATTGGCGATAGAGAGCGAAGAACGCAGATTGGGAGGATTCAAGTTCAATTACGAAGGTCTGCAAAAACCAAGGCAACAATTGTAAAATGTTTCCTGCCTTTGCTTGGATGCCTGTGGAGTTTGCAGGTAGAAGACGTAAGGTTACCAGTCAAAAGGCTATTTTGGTTTGCTAGCCCAGTATTTTAAATAAATATTTTGCCTGCGACGAATTAGCGCAACGATTTTCTGCAGGAACACCTTAGCCACCTCAAGTTCCTGCAGTGTTTATTATGAAGTCGAGTCCTGAGTAAACGTACGCATGCGCGCCTAATTTTGCGATTGTGTCACTGTATGCTGATTCATGGAATATCCGATTTCCGCGTCGACAACTATCCAAAGACGTAATATTTTTACGTCAAGCCGAATCTAAGTATGCGAACAGGTGCAAACTAAAAATAGTAGCGCAAATTAACAAAAACAGTCTGAAATGTGCACACATGTCAGTCTTCGGCTGTGAAAATCCAATGATCCGGTGAATACAATAGGCTCCGCAAGTTATAAGACTTTAACTGAAATACTTATGCACGACGCTGAAATAACAAATTAGTTAATCTAGCTTACAACACTAATTAGCATAGAATACAGTCCCAAAGTTGTTCGGACAGTATTGCCGAACGTTCTCGACAAAATTCTATCAGGCCTAGTATAAATAGTTGTAGAATTTGGCAGTCAAAAAGATAACCCTGAACGAATTTCGAAGGGAAAACATGCTGGACGTTAAACGACGTTATTTCCAGACATTTGAGGAAATTATGCATGTGTATACTGAGGTCCGGTGTTCGCAAAAATTCGAATGTCATTTAAAGAAAAAACGAATAAAAATTTAACTTTATATTCGTAGACAGGTACGCCTTTGCTAAGCGCCGTACGTAAAGAGTGTACTTTTCCCTTGAAAACATTTTACAAATACGTGCACATTTTCACATCATCTTGTCTACTGCCCCTAAGGTCTTTAAAAATGTGCTTTGCTTGTTCTCCGAGGCAGATTTATGTGGCGCGACACATCTCTACAAAAAGATCTTCGAATAGTCATAGTGTAGCACTAGGTATAAATAATGTCGCAAACTTGATGAATGGCAATAACTAAACGGGAGGGATAGAGTAATTGGCCAAATGTTTAAATTTAAGGATCAAAAAAACTCCTATCAGAGATTTGAAAATCGGATTGGCTACTTTACTTAATGGCAAACATTGAAAAATGCTCAATTTTCCATTTAAAAAAGTAAAATTAATTAATCATTATGTATGTTCTCCATGAATCATGATTGCATTCGTACGATTGTTCGGAAACCATGGAAGGGGTACATATTGCTTACGCAGCAATCTGCCATTGGTATCGTTTTATTTAGTGTCCAGAAATATGCTTACTTATAAATATGCACGCTGCCGTAAGTAATAGCCTCTTCTATGCTGGTGTATTAAAAGCTATGGACAAGGGTTTTATAAATTTCGACCGCGCCTGCATGATAAAATGCTCACGTTTATTTGAACTAATTTTCATCCACACGTGTAAATTACACCTGGCAACATTTATTGCATATGTGGTGTACAAAGCTCTAATGGCATGGATGCCTGCAGAAAATCAACCATTGCATCAGAATCAACTTCAAAAAAGTGAGCTTATCATACTTTATTTGCAGAAAATCGCTTTTTCGACTGTTGCGGTTGAAGGATTAACATTTTTCGATTTCAGAAAACAAAATACTTTAACCGAAAACACTAGTACTCCCTCTTAAACAGATTAAGGCATCATTTCATATTAATTATCCGCAGATCCATACTGCTCATAAGACACTGCTGCAAAAATTGATAGATCGAATTAGATACTTTAAGAAAAATATCAGTAAGTCCTAGGACGTTTGGTTACATGAATAATCAAGCGAGTAAATTAAAAAACCCCAAACGTAACAGTTAAATTCTCCAACACACTGACAGTGTACTGCCGCTCAACGTAATGGCACTCGAGGGCACGTCAAAACATAAAGACAACTCCCCGCCACCAAAAGGCTGCATTAATTCCTCTTATTTGCGCGCCAGAGTACACACACAGATGCAAGGGATAAGGACGAGGGCCAATATTTTAGCGGTACGGTCAAACAGACGTTGATAGTTCCTCCACAGCAGAAGGTCGCGGTTCAAGAAAATCGGCATAAAGACAGCGTCATTCGAGCTGCGGGCACGATGTTCTTTTTCGAGATTGGGGTCCGACGGACAAATGGAAGAGTAAGTAGTGTATTTCACTGACGTATGGCTTTCGGTTAGAGTAGTTTTAAGTTAAGTTGTCCAACACGTGTTTTCAGTAATTCTTCATCAGTTCAATACAATGACATGGGGGCATTAAAATATACAAAAGTAACAGTGTTTATAGGTGTCTCAAGGCCTATTAAGTCATTGACACTCATCTCCTTCACGCCGCCCGCACGATGAGGCCGATGGGTTTTGGTCCTTAGGGCAAGGGAAGGGAGGCTAAGAGAGCTTTTGAGTGATGTTCGTAGATTGAGTACACGGAGTACGCATCACTGTAATTAGGGATTTTGGGCGGCACGTCGCCATCACCTAAAGTTGGCGCTGGCCACGGTGGACAGAGCGTGTGTCAGCGTCTTCTTACAGCATAGCACTGGATTGGCCAGCCGTATAACCACTGCCTCGGACGTTGTTAGCGCCCGTTCGCGTAGGCCTTTAGAGAAGCTCGCTGGTGTCTGGTAGACAATCTGAAATGCTTCCTTGCCATCGACCCAGTGATTCGTATCGACTAAATGTGCGAGACACCTGTAAACAGTGTTAATTTTGTACACTTCCATTCATCCATATAAATGTATTGGCCAAATGACGAATTACCGAAAACACGTGTTTGCCAGCTTGACTTTCCAATTATAACATGGGAGTATTTGCGGAACTTAGAGTAGTTTTGATTGGGAAGTTGAGTCTTCTGATTTTCCGTCAGATCCAGGAGTTTGTCAGTGAAT